AAGGTGCTCACCGGACTCATCTTTGCGCTCTGGGTCTTCGGCGCGGGCGGGCGAAGCCTGGACGAGCCCTTCAGAGCGCCTCCCTTCACCCGCCCCTGCCCCCGTCTCTGTCAGGCGCCGGCGTGCTCACCTTCGACGAGCCCTTCTCGACCGTGCGCCCCTCGCCCCTCCCCTCGCCGCCTCGGCCGACCCTCCCGGACACCTCGCAACCCCTCGCAACCCCTCGCCCCTCCGCCGCCACCGCGTCGCCCCTCAGCACTCCTCGCCTCCGTCTGCAGACTGGCAACGGCTTCTTCTCGTGTTGGGTCGGCGTGGTCGCCTCGGCATCGCTCGCGTACCAATGCTACTTCAACACGCAGATCGCGTGGGCGCAGCACCTGCGAAACTCCTTCTCCTCCTCGCGCCGCCATATGGTCTCCGACATCGAGCCCTCCTCCGTCTAGAGCCGGCCGTCTAGCCCGAGGGCGCCTCCCCCCCCCCCCCCCCCCCTCGCCACCGCCCCTCCTTCCAAAGCCCACCCTCGCCCTGCCACCGAGCATCCCGCGTCGGCGGAGGAGACGCGGCGGGCCTCGCATTCGCAGGCCGGCCCGCAGGCTTCCAAAGAGCGCGCATCACGAATGGCTGTCGTGGTGGTCCTCTGTTTTGCTCACGCTCGACTCGTCGCACGTCGACACCCTAGGAAAGAGAGGGAGGAATACAGAGAGAGGCTCTGAAAATCTCGTGCATGTCCCAAATCGTCTTGGGCGAGCAGTACGCTGGCGGACAAGGGGGTTGTTTCTTACGAGTTGCCCAAGAAACTTCATGAATGCATAGCGGCGGCATGCCGCCCGACGCTGGGCCGCCACCAGTCGGCAACATATCCTCCACGTACCTGCTGGCTCGCACCGATCTGAGCGACGATGAGAAGCTGCGAGTAGCGCTGGCGCGACGGCAGTGCTGGATTCGTGCGGTTCAGTTTGGAGCGGCGTCCATGCTGCTGTCCTACTCCGCTGTGGCAGTCGCGAAGCGCTTCGTCAAGCTGCCGCGCAACTCGCTCACCGCAGTGCCGCTGATCACTGGACTCGCCAGCTACACGCTCGGCGCTTCTTACGGAGCGGGCGAAGGAGCAATGTTCATCCCAGATGTGATAGCGAAGGTGCGAGGGTCTTGACACTTCGCGAGGGTCTTGACACCTGTGTAGACACCTCTGACCTTGGTGTACGCCACTACGGCATAATAAAAGAGGAAGAGCTACTGACCGTGTGCAGCGCGCGCTATTCAATGTACAGTGGCGCTCAACCACATGCCGCTCACTGGACTGCACAGCCCCGAGAGCGAGTGCTCACTGCTCAACAGGTGCTCAACCGGTCCGCCGCGCCCTTTGGCTTTGCTCCGCCTCACGACCATCTCCTGCCGGCACGGGCGCAGCAGGCTGGTATCCTCCCCCTTCGCCTCTCGCCGGGAGCAGCAGGCTGGCCAGCAGCGCGCGGTAGGCCCGCTTCAGCCCGCTGCGGGCCTGCTGCCGCACCTCCTCCGCCGCGGGGCTCGCCTCCTTCAGGCTCCGCGCGGCCTGCTGCACGTAGTCCGTCTCGCGGAGGCGGACGCACGACGCGGCGGCGTGCCGCGCGCGGGCCGCCTCCGCGCCACCCGCGCCGTACGCCTCGCCGAGCGAGGCAGCCATGGCGGAGAGGAGGCGCTGCCGCGGGTACCGCTCCGCCGACAGCTGCTGCGCGCACCGCATGAAGACTTGCCAGTGAGCCACGCGGGCGGCGACCGGCGCGGCAGCCAATGAGCCGGCTGGGCAGTCGGCCGGCACGGCGTCCGCCGGGCCGCTCGGCGCCGCCGCCGCGCGCGGGAGGTCTCTCAGCATCGCGTCCCTCGCCGCGCACAGCGCCGCCGCGCCGAGCGACTCGGGCACGTCCTCGCTGGGAGCGAGCCGCAGCACCAGCGAGCCAAAGTGGAGCTCCATGAAGGGAGGCGCCGGTGGGGTCGCGGACGGGCCCGCGGCGCCCGCAGCGCCGCTGCCCGCGCCTCCTCCTCCATCGCCGCCACCCGCCGCCGCATCCCGCGCCGCGTTGTCCACGAGCCGCGTGATCTGGGAGTGGAGGACGCGGCAGAGAAGCGGCGCGTCCTCGGCCTCGAAGCAGGCGAGCAGCCTCGACGCCTCGTGGCGCGCGCGCTTGGCGCCCACCGCCGCGGCGGGCCGCGCCAGGCCGAGCCGGATGGGCGTCTCTGTGCTGGAGCCGAGCAGCGGCGATCGGAAGTGCAGCCGCGAGTCGGCGAGCGACATGACGCACGTGCCGCGGAAGATCTCGTCGGCGCCGCAGGGCCACTCGCGCGCCTCGCCGAGCGGCTCCGCCCAGGCCTGCGCGAGCAGGAACTCGCGGCGCTGCATTCGCACAAACTGTGGGTTCCCGCCCTCCTGGGGGTAGGGATTCCTTGCCGAAGAGATCGCGATCTCCCAATCTCCCGAAATGGAACGCGTCGCCGAAATCCCTGTGCAGCCGCTCGCAGACCTCCCACGGCTGTACCTTCTTCCTCCAGAGATGTAGCCGATCTACCAGCCCCTTTTGGGTACCTTCGGGGCGAACCGACACGGCTGCCAGAGATCCTTGCTGAACGGCTCGCCGGGGGTAGGCGGATCATCCACCAGAGCTCCCGTCCACGTGAAGGTGAGCATGGTCTTCTTGAAGGTCGTGTGCTCGCTTTTCGTGTCGGACCACACATATCTCATATGACAACATAAATGTTGCCCCATACAGTTCCGGACGGGCATTAAGAACGCACAGGTTCTTCGCCCAGCCTCAGGTTCTTAGCTAAGTTGGCGGTCCGTCGGGGGCCGAGCCTCAGGTTCTTAACCGGGTGGATGGTTTTTAAAACCGTTTCGGCTTCGATTAAAAATCAACAAAATTGGGTGTTAAATCAGTTTGGAAGTTTGGAACAGTAAGTTCGCATGGCGTGACAAGAGAGTCATATGTTGGACTGTTGCGCGCTCGCGCGTCGTTTCGTTGTTTGTGTGAACCTTGTATGTGTGTTGCATGGGATGCCGCGCTCGCGAGTCTCGGTCACATCGATGGTTGTAGTATAGAACCCAGCATCGCCCAGCCTCAGGTTCTTAGGGAGTTCTTAGGGATCCGGCCGAAATATCAGCCTCAGGTTCTTAACGTTAGAGGTTCTTAATGCCCGTCCGGAACTGTAGAACGCCTCGCGTGAGCTGCTCTCTATCAAAGGAGGGCATCTCCAGCCCACCCTGGAATTGGACTGCATTCAATGGTTGCTCCCGAGTTGAGACCTGAGAGAGAGAGAGGAGAAATGGCCTCCGGCAGGAGGCTCCACACCACCTGACTCGCGTCGTGCCTAGCGTCGTGCCACCTGACTCTCGCCTGGAGAGGCCTCTTGGCCGAGGCACACGTGGCAATCGCCACGTGCGCCACCAGGGATTTCGGCCATTTTAGAGCCTTTTGCACAAAAATGCAGGTGGCTTCAGCCACTTGCTCCATGAGCAAAACAGTGCAAAAAGCACCTGGAGCAGATGGCTTACGCCGCCTGACGCCTGTGGACATGGGCAAAACAGTGCAAAAAGCACCTGGAGCAGATGGCTTACGCCGCCTGTGGCCATGGGCAAAACAGTGCAAAAAGCACCTGGAGTAGATTCCAAACGCCGCCTGTGGCCATGTGAGCGCTCGGGTGGCGCCAAGCAAGGGCTTCGGCCCCCTCCAAGCCACCTGCCCCGCCCCCCTCGCCACACGTGGAGGGCTGGAGCACGTGCGCCACCTGGGCCCGGGCAGGTGGCTCCAGGTGGCTTCGGCCCCTCCAAGCCACCTGCATGCCCCCCCTCGCCACACCTGGAGGGCCGGAGCACGTGCGCCACCTGGCGCAAGTTTGAATTCGGAAACGGAAAATCCGAGCCACGGAAGGGCTGGCCTGCCAAACGCGAGCCTCCCCGCTCCTCCCCGCGCTGCAAACTGGGACTGTGGGGTGTGTGAATGAGGGCCTGCGGCGGTCATCGGCGGCTACAATCATTGTCCGGCGTCGACATAAGCCTGGGGCTTCAACCCGGCCCGCGCGGGCGTTTGGTGTGGCTGCAAACGCCGCAGGAGCCGGTGGCTGCGCTGCTCACGCGCCGTTGCTGCCGACGCTGAGCAGTCTGACTCGCCAATGAGAAGACTGCCCAATAATACGCCATCACTCGATCCCCGAAAAACCAGGCCATGCAGAGCTTTGTTTGTCGGCCTCGTCGACGTCGTGTGCTGGCTGCGCGGTAGAGTTGCGAGAGTGGACTGTGGAGGCGCGGCGGGGGCGACTCGTGGTGCCGAGGCGGTGTATAGTACATTCCTATTCAAAAGAACACGCACGATGAAACTTCCGAAGTGACGCCCAGGTGGCGCACGTGCTCCAGCCCTCCTCGTGTGGCGAGGGGGGGGCATGCAGGTGGCTTGGAGGGGCCGAAGCCACCTGGAGCCACCTGCCCGGGCCCAGGTGGCGCAGGTGCTCCAGCCCTCCAGGCAGGTGTGGCGAGGGGGGGCAGGTGGCTTGGAGGGGGCCGAAGCCACCTGGCGCCACCCGAGCGTTCACATGGTCACAGGCGGCGTTTGGAATCTGCTCCAGGTGCTTTTTGCACTGTTTGCCCATGGCCACAGGCGGCGTAAGCCATCTGCTCCAGGTGCTTTTTGCACTGTTTTGTCCATGTCCACAGGCGGCGTAAGCCATCTGCTCCAGGTGCTTTTTGGACTGTTTTGCTCATGGAGCAAGTGGCTAAAGCCACCTGCATTTTGTGCAAAAAGCTGCAAAGGACTCGTGGAGGCACGTGGGGTCGTGGCGCTTTCCGCGTGTGTCTCGTGCAAAATCCGGCATTTTGTGGCTTTCACATCAGGTGGCACGACGCGAGTCAGGTGGTGTGGAGCCTCCTACCGGAGGCCATCTATGAGAGAGAGAGATTTTTGAAAACCAACAAGAATTTTACAAACAAACAAGAAATCACGACTCTCACAGTGGATTTGGGCTCGGCAGCTTGTTAGCCCTCAGCCGAAGCTGGGGCCGGTCCCGTAGCCGAGAGAGCCCGCGCCGTTGAGTTCGACGCGGTCGGGGGGCCTTGCGGAGAGGCCAGCGAGATGGCGATCGCTGTACTTGATGGCGCCCTCAAAGTGGGGCTGGCTGACAAGCCAGAGGTCGATACTCTGGACGACCCATAGGATGCCACGAATGTGCCTGAAGGAGAGGGAGGCAAGGGGCCAGAGGCAGACTCAGCTGCTCTCGGGTGATCTCGCTTTGGTGGCCGAAGGACCCGATGGTCCTGTCACATTCGTGTTCCGAGTCGTGGGGGTAGAAGATTGCGGGGGGGCATCGAGTCAGCACATCCTTGTAGTGCAGCGGACCGCCAGGCTCGCCGGCAGCATCCGCAGGGAGGCAGCATATCAGGCGCCAGTCTTCTGGAGAGCTCAACAGCTGCAGCCGCGATGGCGGAGTCGGCCGCGGTTCGAGCGAGCAGCTTTTGGCTGCGGGATCGAATCGCGGAAGGCTCATGCCCTCGCGGAGCGACGCGGGTCGCGCGCGCGCGGCGCGCGCGTGTGCGAAATGCGACAACAGACGACAGACGACAGACGCCTGAGCGCTGAGCGACTGAACGACCGTCGCCGCAATCGACACCGCCGCCATCTTGACGAGCAGCGCGAGCGCGCTCGTCGGCGGCCAGCCGTCGCGGGCCGGGCCGAGCCCGGCCTCAACCGGCCGCGCCGCCGCAGCAGGCCCGGAGGCCCGCATGGCGGCTGCCACGAGGACAAGACGCTTTCTCTTGAGACCTGTGATCTCTGGGGGGGCGCGGGGGCCCCCGGAGGCACCGTGCGCCGCGCAGCAGTGCGGAAACGGGGCTCCGGCTCCGTTAGTCTCCGTTAGCACCGACTTCCCGATCTAACCCGGTCTAACAGAGGGCAGATTTGGAGAGATCTCGAGGAGTACATACAGATCGACCCTCTAACCATCAGAAACTCCCACCTGATCGGTCGTACTGACCGCCGACAGATCACTCCAGACAGCAGACAGGCCGACGTCTGCACGCGGCCGGCCGGGCGAGAGGCTTGACACGATCCGACCCTGCGAGACCCTGACGCTGCTGCTCTAGCTATATCAGACATGCACTGCTGACTGCTGCCACAATGTGCGACCGGTGCTGGCCCACTTGGCGGCCTTCCCGGCCAGTGGTGAGGCGCAGTTCAGAGCTGTCGATGGCGCGATGCCGCACTGGTCCCACATTGGTGACACGAGACCACCACGTTTGCCGGTCCAAGAGAGAGGCACTGGTGCTGTCCTGAGAAGGTGCGTGGTCCCTCTTGACTGCCCATGCGCGCGAGGCTGTGTAGGCATAGCCTCGAGAGTGCCAGCAGTCAATCCGAGGCAGTTTGTGACGCGCATTGCGTCAGAAGCGTGCACACGATGCTCGATGGAAGGACACCTTCCTACTGGCCGTACGATCAGGTCGTCACTGAATGCTTGATACTAAGGCCGCGAGCTATGCAGGTGATCAATTGTGCAGCATGGCACGGTCAGCAGCGCCGACAGGCTGTCGCAAGGCGTGATAGCATGGCCGCTATGCCGAATTCCCATGATAACACGTGGACAGTCGTGATTTCTTGTTGGTTTTCTAAAATCTCTCTCAAACACGTGAAAAATGGCGCAAGGCCTGGATGTGAGGTGAATGACTGCACTCCAAGTGCTCCAAATGCAAAAAAAGAAAACCCCCGAAAAAATCGGCGCCTGCGGCGGGCCATGGGACCCCATTCCGCATTCGCCCCAAACCCTCTAGGACCCCCGCGCCCCCCCAGAGCCGGTGATTGCGTTGCGTTTTTCATTTGCAATCTCACAGTGGAATCGCAATCACATCCACTCTCTTCCCCGAAAAAGAAATCCGCTTCGGGGTTTCTTTTTTTCCTTATTTTTTTATTTTTCTTTGTTTGTTTCCGCCAGGCCACAACGGTCTTCGAATGGCGAAGCTGCAGCTCACGCACCTCTTTGCCTCGTCGGTCGACGAGGCGCTCGGGTCCTGCTCGGAGCAGGCCTTCTGCGATGGCTTCAACCTGCCCGCCGAACACGCCCAAGTCCTCGCCCGCGCGCACCAGCAAGCGACCGACAAACTCCGCGGCAACGCGCTGGTGAGTCGCCCCCCGCTGACTGACGGGTACAGCTGGTCGCACTTAGCCTGGAGAGCGGAGCGGAGTAAGCGGCGTGCACGCGGTCGACGGCGCCCGCGCATCGCAGGCGGAGCTCAACCTCATCAGCGACGAGCACGGCGTCGACGCGGCGCTCGGGCGGCTCGACTCGCTCAAGGCCGAGCGGCCGCTGCTTCCCGACGGTTCGCGCTGGTGCGCACGCGCGCCCGGCTCGGCGGTGGCGCGCGCTCGTCGGCGCCGTCCCGATTGCTCAGCCGTCCCCCTCCCCCCTCCCTCTCCGCAGCCTGGTCGCCGCTCCAAAGGAGTCGGCGCTGATGCTGAACGAGGCTGCCCAGCCCGCCCGGAGGCGACACGTGCAGGCGATGCGGAGCGCGCTGGAGCAGGCGCGAGGCTCGCTCCCCGCCGTTCCTTCGCGAGCCCCCTTTGGGGCCGCCATTCGGCTGCCCTCGGCTGCCCTCGCCCCCTCGCCAGAGGGCGCCTGCCGCTGCCCTCTCCCACCGGGCCCCGCCCCCGGCCTCCAGATCGACCAGGAGAATGCGGAGCTGGAGCGCCAGCTTGCCGAGCAGCGCGCCGTCCTGCAGGCAAGAACCCTCCGCCCAAGCCCCCCTCGCCTCCCCTCTCCCCTCTCCTCTCCCCCCTCTCCCCTCTCCAGCGCCCAGCCTCGCCGCGTTGCTGCTGCCACAGGCGGTGACCGCCGAGGTGGGCGCGTGCTCGTCCACATTCCAGCAGACCGCCGAGGCGTGCGAGCAGTGGCGGGACGGCCTGCGCGCGACCTAGACGCGCAGAGCCGAGCGGCGAGCGCACGCATATGCACCCCACCGACCCAGGGCAGACGCGCGGGCCGTCTGCGGAGTACGTTGGGAAGAGCGGCGGTCGCTTCTTCTCGCGGGCGCTTGTGCCCCTTGTGCGCTGTGGCGCCGGGCCTCTCTCTTGGGCGGGCTGCCGGTGCCCGGTGGGGTCTCGGATACGTCGCGTAATTCTTGTCGGATGTCGCCTTCTCTGACGTCGTGTGCATGCGACGCACGAGAGCCGAGGCGGCCCACCAGGTCGCAGGTGGCGGAGGGGCGTGTATATGGGGGCGGTACAATTTTACGTGCAAAGAAACGGTGGGTTGACCGTAACGCTGTCGTGTGTCGATATACAAGAATATATGCAATATCTCCTCGGTGCACCGAAGGGTTGTTGCACGAGTATATGGGACACACGATGGTCACATGTCTCAAATATGAGGGGTTTTGACTCCTACCAGCTCCTGACGCTATCCCTGGCAGCTCTAATGACCAGGATCAGTAGTGCTATAATAGAGGGTGCCCATACTAGCGCAGGAGCTGCCACACTCGCCCGGACCGTCCCTTTCTGGGTCCGGTTCCGCAGCCCGCGAGAGCCGACAGCGGGGCCGTGCCGCGGGTGCCTACTGCCGAGTGCCACAAACACTGCGCCGTCCCGCCATCAGCTACAGGCTGTCTTGTGTGATGGTTGGGATGTCCAAACGCCACCATCTTGGCTCTTGCGACCTCAAACCCGCGAGCTGTATGGGTGGTCCTGACGTCGACAGACGCCCGATGACCACGGTGAAGCTGAGCCGTAACGCGTCGACAAGTCTCGTCTGAGCCCGTGGCGGTCGCCGGCTGAGTCGCCGTGCACGGCCCGGTACCTCAGGCGTCACCTCCGCAGCCTCAGGTCTCAAACTCCACCACCTCCGACGGACGCCGTCGGTGGCACGCTCGGCGGCGAGTTTGTGGCAGCTCCACAGCGAGCGCGGCATCGAGCCTATTCGGTCTGGTCGGTTCGGCGCACTCCCTGGGTGCCAGGGAGTGCGCCGAACGCGCGAGCGGTGCGTCCTGGCAGCCCGCGCTGGCTCCGGAGCTGCCACAAACTCGAGACACGCTTTTTTGGGACATTTTCGACGCTTTTGTCCCATATACTCGTGCAACAACCCCCGTGCTGGCTGCTGCACGCCTGTGGTATCGGTGTATGCTGTAACGTGTATAAGCATTAAAAGCTGTCGTCGGGTGTCTCGAGACTCGACACTCGAGAACGAGATTACTAGAGTCGACTACTGCAGCAGTGCGGGCCCAGTGGCGGCTGGGGCGGCTGGGGCGGCGTGACGGGTGTGCGTGCTGACAGTGCTCTGGGCCGGCGCGGGGGGCCCAGAGGGTGTCCATGCGGGGGGGAGATGGGGTCCCATGGCCCGCCGCAGGCGCCGATTTTTTGGCTTTTTTTCTTTTTTTTCGATTTTTTACTTGTTTTCATGGGAATTCGGCGTACTTGCGGCCATGCTATCACGCCTTGCGACAGCCTGTCGGCGCAGCTGACCGTGCCATGATGCACAATTGATCACCTGCATAGCTCGCGGCCTTAGTATTAAGCATTCAGTGACGACCTGATCGTACGGCCAGTAGGAAGGTGTCCTTCCAGCTGCGTGCACGCTTCTGGCGCAATGCGCGTCACCTCGGATGGGCTGCTGGCACTCTCGAGGCTATGCCTACACAGCCTCGCGCGCATGGGCAGTCAAGAGGGACCACGCACCTTCTCAGGACAGCGCCGGTGCCTCTCTCTTGGACCGGCAAACTTGGTGGTCTCGTGTCACCAATGTGGGACCAGTGCGGCATCGCGCCATCGACAGCTCTGAACTGCGCCTCACCACTGACCGGGAAGGCCGCCAAGTGGGCCAGCACAGGTCGCACATTGTGGCAGCAGTCAGCAGTGCATGGCTGATAGCTAGAGCAGCAGCGTCATGGTCGCAGGGTCGGATCGTGTCAAGCCTCTCGCCCGGCCGGCCGCGCGCAGACGTCGGCCTGTCTGCTGTCTGCAGTGATCTGTCGGCGGTCAGTACGACCGATCAGGTCGGAGTTTTCTGATGGTTGGAGGGTCTATCTGTATGTACTCCTCGAGATCTCTCCGAATCCGCCCTCTGTTAGACCGGGTTAGATCGGGAAGTTGGTGCTCATAGAGACTCATAGAGCCGGAGCCCCGTTTCCGCAACTGCTGCGCGGCGCACGGTGTGGGCCGGGGGCCCCCGCGCCGGCCCAGAGTGACAGTGACCAGCGGACACTGAGCTGTGTGCCACCCGCGCGCTCCGCGCCGCGGGGCCGGGCACCGAGTGAAGTTGTTCAGTGGCCAGCAAGCAGAAAATGCCAAAAAACCCGGGTAAAACCCGAAAATACCTGGGGTTTTCCAGGTATTTTCGGGTATTACCCGCACTGGACGCTGGAGATCGTCGTGGGTCACTGCCAGGCCTTCCTTACTGTTGTTCAGCTGGCCTAACGTTAGCTACTGTTGTTGGGGAGCCCCACTGTTGTTTTGTTGTTACTGTTAACACTAGCAACACTGTTCAGCTCTTAACGTTTGACAGCTCTCCATGCGGTTATCTGCCGGACCCGCCTCTCGGCGCACACTGCCACCATGCCCGACCTCGCGCCCCGCACCAACTCGTCTCTACATGCAGTCCATCTCGCCGTTGCGCGGCTGCACGCGAGTTAGAGCTTGGCGACGCCGCCCGCCTTTGGGTACACGGCCCGCTGCGGCTTCTTCTTGAGATCGATCACGAGGGCGTGGGGCACTTGCTCGTTGTCGAGGATGCGGACGACCCACGAGGGAGACGACCAGGAGTTTGACACCTGCTCGGCGTGCCGCGGGCGTCATCCCACCCCTCCCTGTCGGCTCTGCTGGTGCCGCTATCGCCGCCGCCTCCACGGGCCACCCCTCGCCCATCCGGAGCCGGCAGACGCCGTCCACCACGGGAGCATCCGGGTTGATGGCGCTGCAGCTCTTTGTGCCGCCCGAGTCCTTGACGAGCGCGTACGCCTATGCGCGCGAGAGACGGCGCAGGCTGCTGCTGGCGAGTGTTGTGGCGCCGGGACTCTGCCGGCGTAGACCTCGTCGCCGTTGGGAGCGATGAAATCGACGCCCAGGACTCTCTTGTCCTTGAGCGCCTGCAGAAACTCGGAGTAAGGCATGCTGCCACGCTCCGCCGGCCTCACAACCTGCAGCGTGTTCTCCGAGACGTAATCCTCACCTCCCGGCGCCGGCATCCCGTTGAAATCCTGCCCTCGGTAGTCGTTGCAGCCAAAGCCAACGCATGTGGCTCCCAGCGCGCCCTGATTCAGATCTGCTCGCGCGGCCAGCGGGACGCTCAGCGGGATGGTGCACGCAGCGGTGATTGCAGCGCGGACAGCGTCGGCTCTGCTGATCCGGACCTTCATACGGTACAGTGGGTTGCCGGCATTAAGAAAACAGGATGTGCCGACGCCTGACCGTCGGAAACCGAACAGGAGGGAGGGCCGGGAGGAGGGGGAAGCCCCTTCGGATGGGGGGTGGGGAGATCGGGCGGAGGGGCCCTGAGTGGCGATGTCGGGTGAGAGTGTACGTCATGCCTGTGTCTGGAGCGGGGGGTTCCGAGCGGTGATGTCAGCGAGGAATGTGTGTGTTGTCGTGCTAGTGTCTGGTGTCTACTAGCTCCGAGTAGAGGGGGCGTTCCGCCGCTAGGGGACACCCAAAGCGCAGAACCAACCCTCGGAGACCCGTGTTTACTTTACGGCCCTTTCCCTGCGAACGCGCACCCCCGGGGCTAGGGCTCTCTTGCCCGCAACCCGATGCCAATCATCCGGCCCGCTGGGTGCGCTTCTGAGCTCCCCGGCCCTGGATGTGCGGTTGCTGACTGCACTCCAAGTGCTCCAAGTGCGCGGCACGCCGCCGTTTCTAAGCCTTTCCACACCCCTCACCCACCCCACGCCGTGGTTTCTTAACTTCGGCCGGGGCACTCAATCAAGGTAGGTCAAAGGTCAGAGCCGGCCCCGGATAGTCGGAAGAGGTGAGCTGCGGTCCCGGATCCGATGCCGCCAGCCAGTCTGCCACCGACTCAAGACGCACACGCCTCCATCCACACCGCTCACTCAGAACACCGCAGACTTGCAAAATGCCAAGTGCGCGCGCCGCGCAGGCGAAGAGAAATTTTCATTTGACGAGCTGGGAGCTCCCGTTCACACTCGTGTCTGGCCTTTTCTCGGAGCCGCGCCTGCGGCGCGCCGTGGTTTCTTAGATTTTTGCAGAAATCGCTCGGCGTGGTTTCTTAATGCGACGCTTTCTTAATGCCCGCAACCCACTGTAGCGCGCGGCGGGATGCGATGCGCGCACTTTGTTTTTGCCCGTGTAGCCGGGGGTGTTGTGTCTACCTACCTGTGTCTGTACTTTTAGCTTACTGGGAGAATAGGGATGGTGTTCTCTAGGCCTACGCGCCCTTAAGGGCCCTACGCGCGGCGTGAGAGCTCGGAAGCGAGCTTGCACGACGATCGAGGATGGCGCGGTTCACTTCACCGAAGCTAGAAGAAGCTAAAAATCTCTCTCTCTCTCTCCCGAAGCTTGTCAGAGAGAGAGAGATTTGATTCTTGTCAGCCGGTCACAAAATGACGACCATGAATTACGCGATCGCCAACTCGCTGACAAGCTGAGTGTAGAGTGTAGAGCGCTGTAGAGCTGAGAGAGAGAGATTTTTGAAGACCAACAAGAAATCACGACTTTCACAGTGATTTGGGCTCGGCAGCTTGTTAGCCCTCACTTAAGAGCTGTCGGACTCAGGGCCGGTGCTTTGACGCAGTACAGAATGTACAGTGTGCTTCGAGGTAGTATGAACTCAGAACGGCCACCCGAGAGCGCCTCTTCGACGCCCACGGGTCGCGGGAGAATTTTTTATTTTTTGTTTGAATTCTGGAGGCCGTCAAACATGTAACGTGCGTTCCACGTGCCCGTCCCCAGCAAGGACAACACATATATGCTAGCCCAGCAGGCCGCTCCCACCGCCGCCCGCGGCGGAGGCAAGGCGGCAAAGGGTGGCAAGGGCGGCGGCAAGGGCGGTGGCAAGGGTTGTGGCCGTACGTGGCGCACCAGACCCACTTTGCGCCGCCGCCCTCAACGCCCGATACTCGGTTGAGCCGGCGGAGCGACGGCGGCAGAGTTGCGGCCGCCGGCGACCTCACACGGCGTCGAGCGCCGTAGAGACGGCCCCGAGAGCCGCCACCAGGTGTGCCACGACCGCGGTCGCGAGGCTCGTGGCGATGGATGCGCCAGACCCGCTTGCGCCGCCGCCCTCAACGCCCGATACTCGATCAGAGCCGGCGGAGCGACGGCGGCGGAGTTGCGGCCGCCGGCGACCTTCCCCTCGACCACGCCGCCGACCCGTCGACAAGCACACGCGGACTGCCATCGAGAAAAAGGAGAAGGATGGCGGCGCATCCGGAGCCCGCGGGCGCGGCGTGGGCGGGCGCGGGCGCGGGCGGACGCGCGGGACCCCGCCAGCGGAGGCGACACAATGCCTCTGGCGGCTCTGCAGGCGGCGCGCGGCGCGCCCCTCGCCGGTCTCCCGCACGCTCCTGAGGGCCGAGAGGGCCGAGAGGCGGGGTCGGTGACCCGGGGGCATGGGCGGTGCGGCCCGCGCCGCGGGGCCGGCGCGCGGGCGCGTGGCAGCCCGTGAGTGCCGAGATCGGGTCTGTGCTTCGACGTAGTATGGGCCCCCGCGGGCCCATCTACAGCAGCGGCGAAGTGAGCGTGTTTGTGGTGTTGTGGCGTCTGAGCTTGGACCTGTGACTAAAGCCGGTTACCACTGATGGATCCCCCCACCCGAATAACACACAGTGAGCGCCCCCCAGCGCTTCACTACGCCCTCCGCGCGAAATCCCTAGTGGTGGCTTGTGGTTTGTGGTAGTACATTGTACTTTTGAGTAGTATGGGTACGGGGTGCCCGAGACCGCTGTAGAGATGTAGAGCGCTGTAGAGCTGTAGAGCTCTACATCCGCCGCGTGACGAGAGGCGCCTGCGTGTTGTAGAGCGAAAGAGCGATGTAGAGGCGCTCTACAACGTGAAATCTCTACAACAAACTCTACATGCTCAAGCGGCGAACGAGGCACGGTCGCTCTCCGACATGAGGCGCCTTGCACTTGCCTGTTGCCAGTGCTGCCCTGGCATTCTGTCTGGCCCGCGCCCAATGGGTGGCAGGTGCCTCTGCTGCTGTGGCATGCCTCACGGCTGCGACTGGCCGGCGCCTCGGCGCGTCAGCTCGGCTAGGTGTAGCGATAGTGGCCAGCGCAACTCGCCTGGACTCAACGCTCAGCCAGGAGCTCCCGCACGCGCTGGCGCGAGGCATGGCGCATGCAACGCTCATCAATGCTCGCCTCGCCTCGCGCAAATGCGACCGTCCTCTCGCAGCCGACAGTCCACCGCCTGCTAAAGAAGCACAGCGACGAATGCGGCACCGGCGACGCATGGCAGGCTGGTCATGACGCAGTTATAGGGTGTTATGTGCCGTCAGAGTGACTCTCTGTGTGTCAGGGATAGTCAGGGCCGTCCATCAGAGCTCCAGTAAGCTCGGAGACACCTCATTAGCGCGGCTCGACCTCTTTGAGTCACTGCCTTCCCGGCGGTGCTTTGCTGTAGAGCCTCTACAACAAGAGAGAGATCTCACCACGCGGAACGCATCTCCATCGCTTCGGTGAAGGGGGTGAACCGCGCCATCCTCGATCGCCGTGCAAAGCTCGCTTCCGAGCTCTCACGCCGCGCGTAGGGCTCCTAGGGGCCTAGAGAACACAACCCCCTCTCCCTTTTCTCCCATTAACCCCTAAACGGCTACAACAAACTCTACAACAAAAAGCAAAATCGCGCTCTACATCGCTCTACAACGCAGGCGCCTCGTCACGCGGCGGATGTAGAGCTCTACAGCTCTACAGCGCTCCAGAGCGCTCTACATCTCTACAGCTCTACAGCGCTCTACACTCTACATCCTCTACACCCTCCCTCCCTCAGCTGACAAGCTGCCGAGCCCAAATCACTGTGAGAGTCGTGATTTCTTGTTGATTTTCAAAAATCTCTCTCTCTCCCGAAGCGATGGAGATGCGTTCCGCGTGGTGTGACACAAATGAGAGGCGGGACTGGGGCGGGGGGGGAGGGGGGGGTGTCTCTCTCGGAGGTGGGGTGTTGGCAAAAATCGGCCGACATGCTACGATTTAGCCGGCGAACACCCCTGCCTGCGGCGCGACGTGCGTGCTCGCTGCGGCTCCGCCGCTGCATCAGCAGCACGTCCAGCCTGCAGACCACTATCGACACGCAGAGCACCTGGAGCAAGCTCCAGAGCGAGGCGCGCGAGGCAATTGCCTCGAGCGTCAAGCGCGGCTATGGCCTGCGAGACCTGATAGAGCAGCGAGTGCTCTCGCACGGGTCGCTCGCGGACGGGCTGAGCGCAACGATCGGCGCCAAGCTCGAAGACGGCGCCACTGGTCTGGACTACGCCGCCATGTGCTCCGCCGCTTACGCCGCCGATGCCAGCATCGTCGACGCAGCCGCAGCGGACCTCGAGCGGTTCCTTGCGATGGACCCTGCGGCGGACGGCTTGCTGCCCTAGAAAGCGCATCCCTGTACCACGCTCTGGCCACCTGTGTCTCATCAGCCGTCGTTGGAGAGGCGCTGACTGTGGTGCCCGACGCCGCCTTCGCAGGCTTCCTGCGGATCTACCTCTTCTTCAAGGGGTTCCACTCGGTGCAGTGCGCCCGCGTGGCCCACTTTTGGTGGAACCAGCCCAACGGCAGCGGCCGGTGGATCGCGCTCGCACTCCAGAGCGAGATGTCGGACGCGTTTGGCGTCGACATCCACCCGGCTGCCAGGTGGGGCCGAGGCATCACTATGGACCACGGGACCGGCTGCGTCATCGGCGAGACGGCCGTGATCGGCGATAACGTCTACATCATGCACGACGTCACCCTCGGCGCGACGGGCGCCTCGCTCCACCACGCCCGCCGCACAGAGATGGCCGGGATGGGTGGGTTAAACATTGAATCGGTCAACTAGGCACCTCGCTCGACCACGACCGCCACCCAAAGATCGGGCGCGGCGCCTTCCTCGCCTGCAAGTCGACCGTCCTCGGAAACATCCAGGTCGGCGCGGGCGCCACTGTCGGCGCGCAGGCGCCTCCCCTCCCACACAGCCTCCCTTGGGACGCTCCTCGTGCCCGAGCCGGACAACGGCGCCCCTCTGCTGTAGGCTCTCGTCAACAAACCGGTGCCGGCCGGCTACACGGCGGTGGGGTCGCCGGCGAGAATGCTGCCGCCCAAGCCCAACCAAACCAAGGCGGCGCCCTCTGGGGCCCCGCTGCCGCTCGACACGTCCTACGTGGTCTTTGGTCAGGGCATGGGCATCTGAAAGAGAAGGGTGTCGCGTGTGCGCGTGGGTGTGTGCGGGGAGGGCACCGGCACAAAAACACACGAGTTTTGTGCGAAGCCTGTGGCGGCAAGCTGTGGGTTCACAGCGCGCGTCAGAAAACGGTCGGGCACGGCCTGTGCGCCGTGGCGATGGTGTCGCCCGCACGCCGCGCGCGCGGCCTCTCGACCGCGCGCGGCCGCCCGCTATACCGCTATAAAGCCGTAGGCGGCCGCACACCGCCGCCGCACACCGGGGGGGGGGAGTCCCGGGGAGCGAGGCGCGGGACCAGGAGGGGGAGCGCCGCCAGCGGCTACCGCCGCCAGCGTGCGCCAGAGAGAGAGCGAGACACAACACTACAGACGGAAGGAAGGCAGATAGCGGCACATACACCGCGCGCGCGCTTCGTCCTAGGCTTCGTCCCTCCTCAAGCTTTCTACTATCTTAACTATCTACATCAAGGCAGGAAATTTCATGCGTGGATCACATGGTGGATCATCAGTTCATCTATCATCACACAGAAGTGGTACTGACTGGGCTACTGGCGTACTCGCGTACTCGACTCTCGAGCAGGGCGGCATTTCCCTACCTAAAGTACTCCTAAATCCCATCTCGTCTCAGAGTTTGCCGGATTTTTTTTGGATTCTCCCGCCTTCCTACTACTCTCTTGGATTTTTATTTAGGTAATGGAGGGTGTATATGCAGCTAAATCTCTCTCTCTCTCTCTCTCTCTCTCTCTCTCTCTCTCTCTCTCTCTCTCTCTCTCTCTCTCTCTCTCTCTCTCTCTCTCTCTCGCTCTCGCTCTCGCTCTCGCTCTCGCTCTCGCTCTCGGGTGAGAAGGCTGATGTATGATTGTTATGTGGTATGTGAACCCCGACCACTGCACACATGACACACCCGCATTTAGAAGGAAGTTCTTTGTCGACTCAACGAGCCGCTCGCCCTGAGCGTGGTACATGGCTCGCTCGGCGACCGTGAGAGCCCCGTCGCCGTCCCCATCCAGCGCCGCCAGCATCAGTAGCGTACATGCCTTCTCCGGCCCGCCCAGATACCACATCGGATGCTTTGAGAGCACTGCGGAGTGGAGCTGTTCAAAGGCGCGGTTGATGAGAGCCTCGCCCGCCTGCGCCTGCGCCGTCTCGCGGCCTGGAGCCTCCGACGGTGGCAGCAGAGCCTCAGTCGGCGAGGGCCGCGTCATCGACTTGCGCTGTCGACGGACGCTCGAGGAGGAGCAAAACTTGTGTCTATCTGTAGGAGTGACTTCGAGAAGTCACTTCTTCGAGAAGTCACTAAGTGACTTCTCGAAGTCACTCGCCCCCGCGCGCACAGTACGTGCTCTAGCGTCGGCCCGTGCACCGTGCGAGCCCCTGGCGAGCCCCCGCGGACTCGGCCCCAGTCGGGCCGCGACGGGAGAGGCTCTTAGAGCAGCTTGGCGGCGTTCACTTGGAAAACTTCGTCATAAAATTGTTTTCTCCTTCCTCGAGACGATTGCGCTGAGCGCTCGTCCCCGCGGGCAAGAGGCGATATACGGCGCTGCCTCCGCACCGCTACGCGATGACACAAGCGACGCAATCCGGCGACATGCAGGCACCCAATGCTGTGCCGGAGGCTGACTGGTCGAGGCGGTCGACCTCGTCGTGGCTCTTCCACGCGCCGCCGCTTCTCGTGTGGACAGCTGGTTCGGCTCGGACGCAGTGGACAAGAGGACCACCACATTCGCTGGCACACCGCGGCCGACGCTGTCTGCGCTCCCACGCAAGCGCCGGTATCCAAATCGAATGCATGCGTTACTGCGCTTACTGCGCGCCGCCGCCTACCTCAGACTCTCAATACCAATGCGCACGCTCCGGCATCGACTACATTGGTCTGCGCGAATTCGAGGCGCCGTGCGACGTTTGAGGCGGACAGCCCTAGGCGACACGGCGTCTGTGCTCGTGTTTATTGTGCTCGTGTTCAAGCAAGAAGCATCAGTGCGGGTACATGCGGTCCTACCACTGCACACAGTGCTTCCCGGACCCGAGCCAGGTTGGCTACGCGATCTGCAGCCCGGTCGGGACAAAAGCTGGCGACCCTCACCGGCTTTGCCAAGCACCTGCTCGAAGAGGAGCCGTCGCATCGGGCACAGCAGCACCCCCCCGCCGCGACGCGGCGATCGTCCATCGCCGTACCGGCGACCTGAGCCTGCGCCTGCGCCGGCAGCGGCGGCGCCGGCCGCCGCGGCGCCGGCAGCCGCAGTGCCCCGTGCGCGCCGCCGCATCATCTAGAGGTGAGACGGGGTGAGTGGCGAGTGTGCGGCGGCCGGAGGGCGCGTCAGACGACCGCGAGGGCGGCCCACATGCGGAGTGACTTTTAGAAGTCACCCCGTTTCGGGCGTCTCACCGGCGTACTTGAGGTGCTTCAGACGGACGCAGTGGGCTGTCGGCAAGGTAGGTGAGTGTCTAGGGGTCATCTCTAGGCTGGTTAGCCTTGATTTTGATCAAAGATCGGCGCAAGAAACGGTCGCGATGCCTCGTGTGAACGCTTTGAAGAGTGACTTCTCGAAGTCACTCGGTCCTACGGAGAGACACTTGGGCGTGGTCCGTGGTCCGGGGTAGGAATCCTAGTGAATGGGAGAGAATTTTGTTTTCGTTGGGTGCCAGTTTCGTGGGTATCCTACAGAAGGTGTTGCTCTTTGTCTTTTCCCTGTTTAGTGCAGCCAAAAGAAAAAGAAAACGCGAATTATAGGTGGTTCGATTGCACTTGGTATTCCACTCAGCGAAGGTGCCCAGCACCGCGGATGAATTCCTGGCTGCGTCTTCCCCTGCTAGCCCCTGACAACAATCCACATTGTGCCTCGCATGCAGGTGAATGTCGATCGTCCGCCTCGTCTGTGTTCTCGCGCTCGGTGCGCCGCTCGACGCCGCACTTGTTGCCGCACCCAAGCCGGCCGTCAAGATGTCGCCCAAGATGGACACTGCACTCGTGTTGCGCGGTGCTCCAGCCTCGGCCCTATCACGCCGCACCTCGCGATGAAGATCAACTGTGTCATGTACATCTACTTCGCCTCGCTCTTCTCCAACTTCCTCACGTTCCTCCCCAATAAGCCCTTCATGGGTGGCTCGCTGGAGGAGAAGTTTGGCATCGCGAAGAACGAGCCGTTGCGCATGCAGATGGTTGGCGCACTCACGTACTTTGGCATCCTTCTGTACAAGGACACCTTCTTTGGCGACCGCGCCGGCGACATCCTCACGTGCAAGGCGCTCTCCCTCGCGTGGGGCGTCTGCGCCATTGTCTTCAACTGCGGCGGCTCTCCCAACTTCACCGAGTCGAACATCCTCACTGTCGTGATGACCGCCCTCTTCGCCTACCTCGGCTTCATGTGAGGTGGCGGGCGCGGCGCGCGCACAGGCGTGCCAGGTGCCACGGCCGCTGCCGCCGCCAGCACGCGGCCAAGGTGCACCGTGGCCACCGACCACATCTCGCATCTGGCTCTGACTACTGCTACGCGGTACTCGCGGCTCGCCGACTGTCATAACAGGTACAAGTCCGCCGGCTAAATGATTTTCGACCGACCGCAGGGAAACGGAGGGGCGCCCCCCCCCGACCGAGCTGCGAAACAACGTCAACAACGGCGTCCACACCGGCCGCCGCTAACCTATAGAAAATTTTCTTCGGCGCTGCGCGCCGTTGCAGTCGAGTGTATGTCTGTGTATGTTGCAGCCCAGCTATCGTGCCGCAAAATACATGAGAGAGAGATCTCGACACAGGTGCGAACTGATAAAAAAGAAGACTAGCCAGGCGGTACCGTACACGGAACTAACCCTCGGAGACCCGTGTTACTTTACGGCCCTTTCCCTGCGAACGCGCACCCCCGGGGCTAGGGCTCTCTAGCCCGTAACCCGACACCGATCATCCGGCTCGCTGGGTGCGCTTCTCAGCTCCCCGGATGTGAGGTTAATGACTGCACTCCAAGTGCTCCAAGTGCGGAAGCCGTCAACAAACCCTTGAGACAGCATGTCTCTGCTCGTCTTCCTGCTCCTCGCTCGGCCGGGCGGTGGCACGGGTGGTGCGGAGGCGTCGCCGCCGCGCTTGCGCGCGCGCGGGGCGGCGCCGGAGCCCACCTGCTGGCACCGCCACGGCGCGACGCCCGGGGCGGCGATCGTCTCGCCCTCCCTCACTGATGTGTTCATTGGGGGGGGTCATAACAAACACGGTACAGGATCGAGGTGCACGCTTCCAGAGCAGTGTCGTCCCCCCTCTCCCCGACGGCGATGGCGGTGTGACCGATCGAGCTACAAGACTCCCCTGCAGTTACGAGTTAGTGACTCGTTTGCTTTCCTCTGGTGAGAGAGAGTGTGGAGTGTACACAACGAGCGAGCGGGCAGAGTCGCAAACCAATGTCTGCGCACCCGCGTGCCGATGGGCGGCACACGCAACCGAGAGAGGCCCTGTCACGCCGCCAGTAGCGTTCCGCACTCCCCACGCCACCACCGGGTGTGTTCGATCGTAAAAAATCGGCCATTTGGTCCCCAGGGGCCGCCCCTGGCCGCCGCCCGCGCGCACATAAAAATACTCCGCCGCCCCGAACGCCCCCAGAAAACAACATACTCTCTAGCCCCACAAGCGTCACGAGTTTACGAGAATTTCATCATGAGGCCCACCCAAGCAAAAATAAAATACACCTGATTCCAGCGATTAATCCTACCTGGCGAGCGATCACCGAGCGAGATATTCGCGTATGTTATCGTCGTCACATCACCCTGGTTTTGACCGGCCAGTTGAGGGCCGCAGGGGCGGAGCTCGCCTCGCCGACCGCCTCCTCCCGGCCAACATACCCGCCGAGTGCCGCGTACGTGGCGCCGGCGTCGCCGCTGGCCATCCCGGCTGCCGCCGGGCTCTCGTCGCCAGCCCTCGTGCTGCGCCGCTCCCTTGGCTGTGTCGGAGCGGGCTCGCAGGTCAGCAGCGCGTCCCCAGCCTCGTCGCCGTCCCCCTCGACGTCGCTCCCCTTGTCGCTGGTGGCGACCGCGCTGCCGCTGTCGGTCGCGCTGGCCGGCAGCGCGTCCGCAGCCTCGTCGCTGCCCTCGCCGTCGCTGTCCTCGCCGCTGGTGGGGGCCGCGCCGCCGGCGCCGAGCGTCACCCGCCTCCACGTCTCTTCCTCTAAGTTGATTCGGAAATCCTGGTCGGGGTAGCCGTCGTACTCGACCGCGTGCACGAGCCGGCCGTCCGAACCCTCCTCCCGCCCCGTGATGGTGCCCGGCCACCACCTCTGCTCGCCCAGGATCTCCACGTGCGTGCCAGTCTCGACTACAGCGTGCCCGGCGATCCTCGCCGCCGCGTCCACGCGCAGCCGTTTCCGCCGCGCCGTCTTAGACTCCGCGGCCTGCGGCAGGACGTAGTTCGGGCCGTACTCCGCGACGTTCGCGAGGGCCTCGGCCGCGCTCACCGTCTCGACCGCGGCCTCGACCGGTGGAGGGGGGGCTCGACCCGTCGTTCGACCCGTCGTTCCGTGACCTCCCGCGCCAGCCGCTCGCCAGCGAGGGGCTCCTGATGCGCCGCCCGTCGGTCGACGCCCTCGCCCCTGCGCTCAGCCAACGACGCCGTCGCTGTCCTCGCTAACCAACGTGACCGTGATTCGAGGCCGCCCATCCTCCATTGATGCCGTCCAACACCAAAGTCGTTCCCCCTCCAACACCAAAGTCGTCCCTCCCCCGTCCCCCTCGGACACGTCCCTCCCCTGTCCTCTCGACTGCTTCCCTCTTTTACATACATAATTGAGTAGCAATTCGCGACCGCAAAGACGGCTGTCCTACCTATAACGCGCGTGGCGTATAGCTGTCTGTACGTACGGCCGCGCCACACACAGTGACAGGGAGACCACCGAGAGCGCGCAGAAGTGAGAACACGAGTGCGGTCCCAGTGGAGCTAGAATCCCACCTTTTTTCACGTTGTCATCATACGCGATTTCTCAAAAGTTGGCCGGACGCTGGGCCGAGCGTTTTTGATCTCTGGGTCTGTGGGGGGCCGAGCCGCCTCGGGGTGGCGGGCGGGCGGGCGTTTTGAAAAACAGAAAACAGAAAACAAGAGGGGGCCCGGGGGCCCGGGACCCCACTGGGAGTAGAAAATACGCCCAAGGGGGCCCAAGGAGGCGGCGCGGGGAAGCAGCATCAGGTGAGAGCAGGAAGGATGGCGCTTAGGGTCGGCTTTGAACAAGGGTTTCCAGGTTTTAGATCAGTATTGGTGTCGGCACACATCCCCACATGAGGTCAGCGGCGCGCAGTGCCTCTCTCGCAGGCTGATTTCCTTTGTTTTTGTTTCAGTCTCGGGAGGCGGCGGGCGCGGGCGTCCACAGATCCAGAGATCAAAAACGCTCGGCCCTGTGTGCCCGATTTGCAGCCTGACTGCAACCCCCGGCAGCGTGCTCGGCATGAGCCTTGACCTCTCGCTCAGCTTCTCGGGCTGCGGTGCGCTGCTCACCTACCACCTCGGCGTGGCGACTCGGTTGCTCCGGCACAGCGGGCCAGTTGCGACTCGCGTCACGCGCTTTGCCGGGTGACACACTCACGCAACACAGCCATTCAGCCAGCCCGATGATCCACATTCACCGCTTTCTAAACAGGTCCAGCGGCGGTGCGATCGCTGCAGTGGCCATCGCGATGCTTTCGCGTGAGCGGCTGCTCGCATTCACGGAGGAGTACGCGGTCCGCGGACGGGCGATGGAGGGTATACTCCACGCGCTCGGCGTCTCGGCACGTTCGCTCTCCGACGTTGGCGGCGGCAGCCAGCCAGCTGACCAGCCTTGCTCGGCGGCGGAGCGGCTCAGCGGGCGCGTCTTCATCGGCGCGACCGAGTGCACGAGCGGCAGGCCGGCTCTCTTCTCGAGATTCGCCTCCAACGAGCAGCTCGCCCGCTGCCTCGTCGCCTCCTGCACGATACCTCCGTCGGCGAGGCCCACCCCAACGTCACCCTTCCGACTGATGACGGTGTGCACCTCCACCTCTCCCGTACCTCCCCCGCCAGGCGCACCCCTTCGACCTCCTCCGCTCGGCGCCAACCTACCCCGAAGCAGCAGGCGTCACGCTGCCGCCGCAGTGCGAGTGGGACGGCGGCGAGGCGAGGCGAGCTGCCGCCTCCTCGGGCGCCGGCGGGGCGGCCTTCGTCGACGGCGGTCTCTCTCAGGCGGCGCCCTGGCTGCCGCCGCCTCTCTCCGCAGGACGAGCCATCACCATCTCGCCTCTCTGCGGGCCGCGCGGAGTCTTGTCGCGCCGCGGCGGCCGTGGGGGCGGCGGCGGCGGCGGCGGCGGCGGCAGTAGCGATGACGGCGGTGGCGGCGTGACGCATCTCCACCTCTGCCCGATCGAGACGTCGCCACGCATACCCCTGGCAGCACCGCGGCTGGCGGGCTTGCGGCTCTTCCTCTCGCTCGACAACCTGCGCGCTGCCGGTGCGTCGATCGGCGCATCGCCGGACGAGCTGAGGTGGCGGCTTGGGAGGGGCGTGCGTGTCCGTGGTCGCAAGTACGCCAGAGCGTGTGGGACGAGCTGCTGTGTAGGTGGTGGCACGACAGGGGGGCGGAGGACGCGCGGGAGCTCGAGGCGTGGATCGAGGAGACGTGCATCTAGAACATGCCGATGTATTCCAGACACGCGAGCGCGAGCGAGCATGGGCCATGCCCATGGCCGCCACTTTCAAAGACTAAAAGTGCCGCACTTAGCGGGTCTCCGTCCCTCCAACAAGAGAGTAACGCAGTAAGCCGCCTCCCTCTCGCGCGGCGTTCTGTGCGAGCTGCGTCCTGCGAGGCGTGCCGCGTGTGCTTCGGCGCGTGTTTATAATTGTCTTCATGTACACTACTACCCCCTGGCACTGCGCGCTCTGCGCACTGCGGCGGGCCCCAGCGTAGTGCACATGCAAGCTGCAGCAATCCACCTGGCCCACCGGATACGATTCACGGCCAGTCTCGGTGTGTATCACTCGCCCCGCTCGAACGCCGTGTGTGTGCTCGTCTCCAGCAGCGCCAGCAGCTTGTCCACCCCGAGCGCGCTCCAGAAGCTCTGCCAGTCGTTGTCGACCGCAAAGCTGCGCGACGGCGCAAACTCGACCGTGTGCGTGTCGGTCGGGTTGGCGCCGTAGGGCGCGATGCCGGCGACGCGCGCGCGCTCGTGCATCGCCGCCAGCTGGGCGGGCGAGATGTCGGGCGAGCGCGTGAGGTAGTTGATCCCCTCAAAGATGCGCACGCCGCCCCGCTGCAGGCACTGGAACTGGAGCGCCTCGGTGTACTCGCCGCCGGCGCCCTTCTGAACGTCGACGATGTAGTTTGGGAAGGTGGCGCCGAAGCCCGACTCCTGCACCACGCCCGGCGTCTTCGGGTCGTACGTCGCCGTGAGGAAGTAGTGCGCCCCGTTTGCGACGGGTGACTTGTCCCAGGACGCCGGCGCCGAGCGAGGCGACGGCCCTTTGACTCCAAAGTCGTCGAGCCAGCGCGTGCCGCCTCCGGAGAGCTCGATGTCGAAGGTGGTGTCGTACACCTCCGAGAACTGCGTCCAGTCGTGGAACGCGTGCTCGTACCACCGCCCGTCGTACCTACGCGCAGGGCCGAGCAGAGGTCTCGAGCAGACGGGTCGCGAGAGAGCGCGCTGCCCCCCGGCCACGCTACTTGGTGATGTCGAAGCCGTCCATCGAAGGCTGCCGCACCTGCTCGTACGCGGGGCAGCCCTTGACGCCGTCGTCCAGGGCCAGGTTGTAGTCCGACGACGAGACGGACCCCTCGAGGCCGCCGCCGACAAAGTTGACCAGCAGCGCGGCGCTCACCACCGGCGCAGCGAGCCGCACCTTGGGCTGGGTGGCGAGGAGCGCGAGGACGGCGAGGTTGCCGAGGACGAAGCCCAGCGGCAGCAGCCCCACCAGCGGGCCCGGCGCCGTGTGCAGCACCTCCCCGATCCAGACCGCCGGCTTGATCAGCGGGTGGCCGATCGCGAAAAACGCCCAAAAGCGGAGCGGAGCCCAAAAGTCCTCGCCGCTCACGCCGGCGGCGGAAATGGAGGCCCACTGCGACGCGAATTGTGCGAACGCCGGCAAATGTATCGCGGTAGCCAGTCCGAGGCTCGCAGCGGCGCCGAGCAGCAGACGGTTGTCGCCGTCGCCGCCGCCGGCTTCCGTGTCGCTGCCGACGGCGTCCTTTTCGAGGAGCAGCAGCGGCGGAGCGATGCGGACGTGCGCGGCGCGTGGGGCGATGGGAGGCGAGGCGAACGCGGCGCAGCTGGAGAGGCAGGTCAGTGCTAATAAGTGAGCGAGCAGCATTGTTGAAAGAGAATTTTAGTGCTGTGGTGGACGGCTCAAGGACAGACTCCTATCACCGCCCTGCCACCCACGTGAGCCTTTTGGCCGCCTCTGTCAGTGTGCCCGTGGTAGTGAGAGACTGCTGGTGAGAAGCCGGAGGAAGGTCGCTAGTCGAGAGAGATCGCCAGTGGAATAGGGAGTCCACCGTGCTGCGTGCTGCGAGCCTGTCGCTGTCCCTTGTCAGGAGCAGGAGAACTAGGAGAGCGCAACCAGTAGGAGGCCCGCGCCTGCCCCCGTGCCGCCGGGTGCAACCTGTCCTATACGAGAGAGGAATCCCTGGGACCCTGTCGTGTGGGTGAACCCTGCCCAGCCCCCCTCCGTGTCGCGATGCGCTCCCCGCTCCCGTTCCCCTGTGTCCCTGATCGTCCTTACAAGATCCTGCTCGTGCAGGTGGGGACCCTGTCCTTCTCCCACCCCTCGTTTGGCGTGCCCGTTTTATTTATTTTATTAAGGAACTTGAGCCGCACCTGAAGAAGCGGAGTCGGTTGAAGGGATCCCACGACAGCGATTCTTTTTAGGTTCGTTGTTAGCAGATTGTGGGGACAAAAAAGAAACCGGCGCCATAAGAGAAGGGACGGCAAAGAGAAGGCAAGGGAAAGGATGAGAAACGGCTGGTGAAGCTCGAAGTATCGCGTAAGCAACCGCGGTTGTCAGGGATGTCACCCAGGCCAGCCAGGGCAGGGGCGGAGGGCGAGGGCGGAGGGCGGGATGGGCGCCAAGCGGGAGGGAGCGGACGGAGTGGAACGCACAGAGCCGGGAGGGCGGCGGGAGGACGGAAGTTGGCATGGGCGGGCGGCGGGTGGGGCGGGGGCGAGGGCGAGGGAAGAGTGGGGGGAGGGCGAGGGTGGTGGGGGCGAACGTGGCAAGGGCGAGGGTGTCGTGCGGCAGCGGCGGAGGCATAGGTGGTGTCGGGAGGCGGGTGGCGAGGGGGAGAGCGGCTCAGCGGCAGCTAGCGGGTGGCGACTGGCGAGGGCAACGCCGGACCCTCGGGAGGTGGCGACTGGCGTGTGGCGACGTGGGGGGGTTGGCTGCAAACGGTGGCGAAGGCTAGTACGG